ACACACACACACACACACACACACACACACACGCACACACACACACACACTCCGCGAGGTTGTGTGTGTCAATTGCCGTGCACAGGCACTCCTGGTGGAGGGCAAATTTCCACAAAACATTTTTCGCCAGCGACAATTAGGGGAGTGTGCTGGGGGTGAAATGGCGATTTCACATATGCAGATGCAGCGTGAGCCGAGGTGGGGAGGATGCAGGAGCCCCGTCCTGACCCTCCAAACTGTGTTACCCAAAGAGAGAAGGGGGCAGGGTCATCAATCATGTGACAACCATACAACAGTGCTGTCATGGCGAGTTAATGTTGGTTTTACAAGCAATCAACAGTTATATATTGTCAAGATACGTGCAGCCTACTTTTCTTTTGGAAGCTTCATGCAAAACTGCTGACTATTCTTGCTGCTTAGTATTTATAGAAGGCGACGATGCAACTGTGAATCACTTGTCATGGAATAAGCTAAAAAAAAACTAACTGCTCTTTGTATTAAAATGGGAAAACGATCTAATAAGTGATGTACTCACCATGATGGGGGAGTGTAAAGGCAGGTCAAGTGGAGGATTGCTACGCGGACGGGCGTCTCTTCACATAAAAACAGCTTACTTTGAAGTGTACATCATATTCTTATTAATAACGTTATCTTAAGGTTGATTTAGCCATATTGGAATGTACTTTGTACAGAAGTATATAAAGCGAAAATAACGAGTTCCAAACAAACACATGTAGGATGAATCCTTTGCACTAGTGATTTCTAAGCACTGTGCCATGTGGCACATTATGATCAGGTGTGCCATGAGAAACTACCCAATTTTATCAAATAAATTCTTTTCAAAGGAAAAGGATTTATTTGCTTCAAATAATGTATTTTTGTTCATCTCTCCATGCTAGCGTACTTTGAAAAGGATTTATTTGCTACAAATAATGTATTTTTGTTCATCTCTCCATGCTAGCATCAAATCAAGAATTATGAAATGTTCTTTAACTGGATGGCAGAAGGTATTCACCTGTTGCCATTCATACAACAGAATTATTCATTTTTGTTCCAACGAAACTGGCTCAGATTTCACACAGAGTAAATTTGTCAGTAATTTGACATGGGATTGTCATTATTTCAGTATATCTTATGATTTTTCTGACATTTGTGTTCATGTAAAATACATGCAGTATCTCAATAAAGGTTGGGAACCACTGCTTAAAATTGCCATACTTTCTCTTCTTCAAAACTTTATTATTGTTTGTGCCCAGCGGAAGCCTTATGCGAAGCACAAACTAACCGTGTGCATGGGTAGAGTTTTCTTTTTAGGGTATTTTCATGGACAGGCACAGTTAGAAAGGGGTATTTGTGCCGTTGTGGGAGTGAACAAAGTCGACTTGCTTCCTGGCCAAAGGAAGCGGCTCCTCTCATTTCCTTTGAAATCAGCTCGCCAGATGCGCTCAGTCTTCGACATTGTAGAAGAATAGACTCTGCACGCAAAGTATGTTTATAAGGAACTGCAGGCAGACCACCACAGGTGGATGATGGGAAGTTTGCCAGGGCGCTGCCAATGGTGCACTTGGAGACCACCTTCCAACGCGCGTTTATGACCATGTGGGAACATCACCCCACCAACAGCTGTATAATATTTGATCTACTCCACTATCTCATTCTCAAATCCTCAGATCAAAAAGCCCCGAAAACAAAAAGCCATAAATGCTAATATATGATAATTAACATTTGCTTGGTCATATTTCTCCCGGCCCTCGAAGGACTGATTTTAGATAATTAAGTGTCCAAAGTGAGAATTTGTGAGTGTTTTTGTTCCAACTTTTGATTGGAATCAGTCAACAAATTTGGACAGTTTGTTCACATTTCCTGGAATAACATTAAAAAAAAACCAGAGTGCTTGCATAAAAAGAGAAGTGGTTGGGAAACAGCATTCTTATACATTTCACAGCTTGTTAGCAATGTTCCTTTCAAGCTCATCAATTCTTCAAGCATTCCTCGGATTTGGATCTTCTTCTAGTGGAATTGTGTCCACTAGTGGGCGACTGAGGTTTTTTGTTTTTTTTTTCCTTCCTCTTTTTCATCTTCCTCCCTCTTGAGCACACAAACACTCTGCAATCTTATCTCCATCTTCAAACGCTTGCGTCTTCTTATTTGCGTCACAGCAAATTAGCAAAGTTTCTTTTCATGCTTGTAGGTGTCATGTTTTATCTTCGTATTGTTCAGTACAAAGCAAAGCAGAAGAAAAGGGACGCCATGAAAAGATGTCGCGTAGCTTTGTGTCGTTTGCGAGCAGATAAAAAGGGAAGAAAGATTGTTTCCGTTTCTTAACTCACACAAATGCAAAAAAGGAGGTAACCGCTGTTAACATGAAAATGTAAAAACTATAGATGTTGTATTCACCATGACGCCTGGCATATGACTGTGTGTGCTTCATCTCAGCATGGATGAGAGGATGGATCAGTTCTGTGCTTCTCGCACTTTGGTTGGCTCTGTGTGTAACTCATTGCAATAATTGTATTTTTTTTTACTCTTAATTGGGTCATCAGAATGACTTTTAAGGTTACTGTTGGCTGTATTACCCCCCTCCCCCCCCAAAAAAAAACAACACATAAAACGTGATGTCTCCTCAGAAGCAGGAAATAGAAAGCTGTTTTGTTTGCAGACGGAATTTGTGCTTGGACACATGCTTCTTACAATCACAATTCTAACAGCAGCTGGCTAGATTTCAGATTGACCCTGAAAACAAGCAAGTTTCCATGGATCAATTTTTGTGGAAAAAAAAATAGACAAAAACATCTGAATACGCTTGTTATGTTATTTTGGAAGAAGGAGACTCTTTTTCAGTGGAGGGGGTGTTATCTTTCTACCCTCCTTAATTAAAGTTCAAGCAATATAAGC